GAATAAAGGTAATTGTTGAGGTGACCATCAACTTTTCCCCAGTTCTGTGTGTCTGCGATTGTGTTCAGCACCAATAGATGTTGCAAATGTGGGAACATAGGGATCTGTCCTTAAGGGTGATCTCTTGGTTAATGGGCACATGAACATGCAAAGAGAATTGTTTTCAGTATCATACATTCAACAATGGATTTTTTTCTTGAATCCCTAAGCAAGAGTTTTGAAAACTAGTTAGCTTACTTGGTTCTGCTACTACTGCTACTTATAAATTACTTTTTAAAATAGCTGCTGTATTGTCTCTTCCAATCAAAAAAATCTGTTTGTAGTACTGGGGCCTGAACCTAGGGCCTTCCATATGCTGGGCAAGTACTCTATCACTGATGTACATCCTCCCTCTCTTTGTTTTTTATTTTGAAACAGGGTCTCAATGAGTTGCCCAGGCTAGTTTTGAACTCACTGTAGCCCAGACAGGCCTTGAATTTATGATCCTCCTGCCTCTGTCTTACAAGTAGCTGGAATTGCAGGCCCACAGCACTAGAGCTAAGCAGGTATCACTCTTTTCTAACAAACTATTCTCAAGAGACTTATTCACTGTGAAAGACTAGCATAGTACCTTCTGAGGGCAGCATTCTCAGTGACCTATCGACTTTGTACTAGGTCCTACATTTTAAGGATTATACCTCTACACTGTTGCCACACTAGGGACCAGGCTTCCAACATAACCCACTGAGAAACATATGTAAACCGTATCCAAACTATAGCAACATAGTAGTATCATTCATAATAAATATATCTTTTTTTAATGTATTTTTTTTTAATGTGTACAAGTGTATTGCCTGCATGTATATGAGTGCACTCGTGTAGTGCAATGCCGTGGAGGTTAGAAGAGGATGTCAGATCCCCTGGAACTAGAGTTAAGGACGGTTCTAACCACCATGTGGGTACTAGAAATTGAACCCAGGTCCACTGCAAGAGCAGTTAGTACTTTTAACTGCTGACCCATCTCTCCAGACCAATATATTTCTTTTTTACCTACAGTGTCATTTTACCTACAAACATTTTCGTGTCATCAAATATTCCCTACTTTTGTGGTTTTATTTTTGTTTATTATCATAGTAATGGAATGTTATTTTCATTTTCTGTTTAAATAATGCTAAAATTAATGTTGAAAACATTCATATTTATTTTCCTTACATGATAAGGAGACACTGATTTCAATAAATGTTACATTTGTTTATTTAA